AGAGTTTAATGTATGTTTTACTTATATCTGCTGTAAAAGAAGTCAGAAGTCTTTTTTTTTTGTATGTTTCTTTTTTTCTTTTTCTGCACTTCTGCTTGCTTGCTTTCTCTTTACACTTACTTTCCTTCTATTCTGTTTCTCAATTATTAGTTGTTAGTTTTTATCTTTCTGTTTTTAAAGTTTAATAAAGTTATTATAAGGAAAAGGCTACAGGAATTGATGGAATATTTCCAGAAATATGCCACGCAACAGAAGAAAAACGTGTAAAAGTTCTAACCAAACTATGCCAGCAAAGCTGGAGAATGGCACAGTGGTCAAAAGATTGGAAGAGATAAGTACATATATCAATACCAAAGAGACTTAACTGAGTATGCAAACTGTTGCACAGTATCCTTAATTACGATGCTAGGCAAATAATGCTTAGGATCATCTAACATAGATTAGAGACCTACATGGAAAAGGAGATGCTAGATCTTCAAGATGGCTTTAGAAAAGCTAAGGAGCAAGAAACGAATATGTTGGATAATTAAAAGACAAAGAATACCAAAAAGAAATCAGTATGTGCTTCCCTGATTACAGAAAGGCCTTCAATTGTTCATGTCAAGTTGTGAAATGTCCTTAGGAAAATGGGAATCCCAGAACATCTCATCCTCATGGAAAACCTATACACAGGTCAAGGAGCCACAATATACATGGAGCTCCTCCAGATCAACTCCAGGTCAGCAAAGAAGTGAGACAAGGCTGTACACTGTCCCCTTAGTTATTTAACATATATGATGGATACAGATTGAGGGAAGCTGGATTAAAAGATGAGTGTGGTTTTAAAATTGGAGGAAGGAACATAAATAATCTGTGCTGTGCTAGTAAGACTACTCTGATAATTGGAAATGCAAATGATTTTCAAGCTTTAGTATTGAAAGTCAAGAAGCACAGTGACAAAACTGGACTAAGACTAAAGAAGGCCAAACTAATAACAGCAAGAACAGTAACTGTTGATAATGAAGATACAGAAGTGATAAATAGCTTCTGCTTTTAAGGATCAATTATCAGTAAAGAAACCAGCAATCAGTATGCTACAGACTAGCACTTGGTAGAGTAGCAGTGAAGGCCTTGGAAGATACTCAGATGCTGTGACATGTCTGTATCTACAAAGATCAGAATTGTGCAGACAATGGTTTTCCCTGTGACAATTTATGGAAGGGAAAGTTGTACTTTGAAGAAGCAGGATGGAAAGTATATTGATGATTTTGAACTCTGATGTTGGAGAAGACTCCTGAGAATACCATGGAAAGCCAAGAAAACAAACAGATCATTGAACAAATCAATCCAGAGTTTTCACTTGAGGCACAAATGACCAGGCTCAAATTATCATTATATGAAGACTTAGCTCGATTGAGAAGTATATATAGCTGGGAAAACAGGATGACCAGCAGCAAGATGGATGGACTCAATTACAGCAGCAATGGGCGCACCATTAGAAGACCAGAAGGAGCAAGCTGGGAACAAATGATCACTAACAGTCAACACCACTTGATGATACATAAACAACTAGTAATAATGGGTAAGTTTTGCATTCTTGGCAATTAGAAATAATAATCAGACAATCCTGGAAACATTATCCAAGAATAATTTGCCATTTGGATTAGATTCCTTAATAATCCTAGTTGTTGGCTGACAACCTGTTCTTATTCATATCATGTGACGGAGAAAAAAGATACCAACTATTTAGTCAACTGTTATCATTTATTTTCATCTGCTGGGATATCAACATAAAGTACATGTTTATGATAAATTCTTATCCTTAGAATTTAAAAATTTCAGAAAAGATTCAGATTTTTAACAGAAATAATTTTGTTGAAAGTTGACATAGAACTATCTCCAAAGACTTGGTTTTCCCAAATGAAAGCAGACCTAATTAAATACAAATGGTCCCATGAGAGAGATTGCAAGTATAGTATGATACAGTTTTCTTGAAGTTCTGACATTTATTTCTACTTTAGCAGCTGATGATTTAATGATTGGAAAAATATTTGAATAATCTAAAATAGGGAGCCTAATGAATTTGCATAAATAAAAGGATAGTTAAATAGCATTTGAATTTAAAAACCCACCCCGGCTGCACTAAAATATTTCCTAAGAGGTCTTCACTCTCCAGTCAAATGTAAAGTTTATTTTTGGGGGGAAGGAGGTATGTAAACACATCTGGTGCAAATAAGAGCCAAATGCAAAAATTTCACTGGTGAAATTGCTCAGCACAGTTCCAGTGCTTTCTACAGCTCAACAGCTTTGTCCTCATCCATGGAACTGGATTTTTTTCTTGTCATGGTAGCAAACAGTGCATCCATCATCCCCAAAACTTCTAGCAATTCCTCTTGGTAATCAATCTCTTTCTCTACAAGATTTTGAAGTTTCAGAAATTGCTTATCAATGACTGAGGATTGTCCAATCACAGGCATATATATATCTGGAAAAGAAAAGATGCAAGTTAATGGAATTTGTGTGCTTAATGGGGCTTAATGTATAAAATACAAAACTTATTAAAAATTTCCAACTGCACTTTTTCTAGAGCAATTTTAAGCAGGGCATAAACAGAAAAATAATTTGGTAGCCAGAGTCCTGCCACTATAGAAGAGGGTGGAGAAGGTGATTATTTTCCTATCTGTAGTTCCTCTCCTTCTTGCCCCTTGACCAACTGAAAGTAATGGCTGGGAAAACACCAGTGCCAGTCTAAGAGATAGGGCAACAAAGGGGCACAAAATTATCCATGAACCATCTTGAGGACCCCCGATTTTAGATCCTAAAAGGTAAAGATGCCATCAAGTCCAGTTCAACTGCTAGTGACTTCATGGATCCTTTCATGCAGTTCTCTTGGTAACAATATGGAAGTGGTTTGCCATTGCCTTTTTCCAGGATATTTTTCATATATAAATTAGGGAGATTACAGAATTAAACATTTCAATTTTTTAAAAAGCAGAAAAATATGTATACAGAGTGAGCAAGAGAGAATATTAATATACAATTACATGAACTGAAATTTAGGAAGCATTGTTCAAGTATATAAACTCAAGTCTCAATACTCAAGAGTTTTTACATGACAAATCGAAAGGTACAGGTAGTCCTCGCTTAACAACCCTAATTGGGATCAGAATTTCCATTGCTAAATGAAGCAGTCCTTAGGCGAAACACCACATGACCACACTGCTTAGCAACAGCAGTTGCAGTAGTTCCAGTTGCAGTCGTTAGGCAAGAACCACGCTGTCGTTAGGCTAGGAGCTCATCCTTCTCCTGCTTGGCCGTGCTTGCCTCCATTTCAACTCCCCCCACCCACTTATCTCCGCCCCCCCCCCATTTCTGCCCTTTTGGCTGACCTGCATTCTGCCACCGCCACTGCCAGCCAGGCATGCCTCATCAAGCAGCAGAAGGAAGAAGATGACGGTCAGCTGGGGGTGGCAGGGCTTGGCAGCAGCAGAGTCCAAGACAGCCAAAAGGGATGCAGGGGAGATAGGTTGGGGGGAGTTAAAGTGCATGCTCCAGTAGTAAATGCCAGCAGGCTACCAAGCACCCAAATTTGGATCATGTGACCACAGGAGAGCTGCAACAGCTGTAACTTTGAAAGGTTGCTGAACAAGGACTAGATTGTTAAGTGAGGACTACCTGTAAAACAGAAATCTTCCATCCACATAGTGAAATATATCAAGCAGGCCTAGCCTTAAACAGGTTATTGCATCAACTGTGTCTTTGATATTGGGCTAGTTTTTGATATGGTAACAACTAGCAACTTCTATATAGTACATGAAGGCCATGTATATTTTTACGTTTTGGAACATGGAAGGTTTGCTTCTACTGAATTAGACAATCTAGGTCATGGATTGGCTTACCATGTAGGTCACTAAGTCTTTCCTGGTCTTTATGGAGATCCGAGTGACTGAACCTGGAGCCTCCTATATGCAAGCATTCACTTTCCCATTGAGCTCTAGCCACCTCTATACTTCTTTGTGCATTCTACTCTTTCATGAATTACAACATGTTTGCAGTTTTGGGATATCTGGGTAAATGTCAATTTTATTCATGTTATTTAATATCTGAACTTACCTATAATCATTTCTGCAACATTTATCAGTACAGGAGCATATCTTGCATCAGTCACATTTCTGCAAATGTAATTAATAGCCAAATGTTAAACTTCATATAATGTTCATTTTTTTCACTTTTAATGACCTATAGGAGAAAGAAAGAGGAAACGTGGTTCTTCCTTATCAGGAAAAACCATCCAAGACACATCATGGTTAGGAGCTTTTCTCCACCTAGCACCAGTCCCCTGGAACCAACCTCCCCCATGATTATAGCCTGGGGTCAAGATGTTATCTATGAAGCTGGTTTAAGTATTAATTCTTCATGCAAAGTAATAATTTCTAATAATTGTTTAAATGTTATGGGTTACTCAGGCTACTGAGATTCTGTATTTTAGTTGTGATTTTAAATTAGATTGTAGTGCATTATTGTATTAAATTCTTGATGTTATATTGTCTTATTTTGTACTAGGGGCACATAAAACAGTATTACTATGAACCAAGTATTCAAAAGAATTCAAAATTAAAACTAATTATGTATATTTTGAAAATACGCTTGAAATCAAAATATCTATACTGTTTGAGAGTTGTAATGCATAAAGCTGAAACTAACTTGAAACAGAAAAATAATTGGTTTTCATGAAGTCATCAGGTAGCCTTCTTCAGATTTAGAACTGTCAGTTTTTCAAGGTAGGCCAAGTCAGGAAACAGACTCCACAAAGACTACTGGAACTTTACTTTATTGTTGCAGGACATAACAACAGAATCTTGAAAGCCTGACAGAGATTCTCTTTCCCTCTTCTTATACCAAAGAGAATCAAGGTGGAGCAATCTTGAGTTTCTTTCTCATTCCCTCCTCCCTTCCTGGGCTAAGTTAGTCATTCAGTAAATGGTTACTGAATACCATCTTCATACTCCTCTACAAGAACAGATGTTGTGTAGTTCAGGAAAGGATGGTACACAGACCAAACAAGTCAGAGGCAATGGAGGATGGGAATAGAATTTGCTATTTTTTTTTACTCCTCTCCAGTCCTTCTTAATGCAATTTAATGACAGGGTGTCATCCTCCAACTTGGCTTTTCAAAAAATTCAGCCGCCTTCCACAACAACAGCTATAGAGCAGGACCATCCACAGAGAAACTGGCCAACTGGAAAAACAGAGAGGACTGGAGCATTTTTCAACACAAGCAGCATGAGAGGAGGATGAAGGGGGGGGGGGGGGAAGCCAAGCCAAAAATAGGAAATTCTTTTGCACAGGAAGTGGCTAGGTTGTGTCATAGCCAGGCAACATATAAAGGCACCTAAGGAAAAGCTCAGCATATACCGGAAGAATATTTCAAAGTAATAATGATCAAGACTATAAAAGCACAACAAGTCTACAAGTTGACAAACAATTGTAACATCTAGAATTTAGCACAGGAGCATTTGAGTTTATGTTAAGACAAAAATACCATAAATATCCACACTGTATCACATTATTAATGATGAAAGAACACACCATTGCAAAGAAAACCCTCCAGATCCAATTCCCATGAAGGAAGGCTAAATGTCAATGTAATTTGGATTAAAATTTCATGGAGGGCAGCCTGAGATCTGAGAAAGAATCCAAGACAGAAATAGGAAGCCCAAGGTGAGGAGATTGAGTAAAGCGTGCCAGGTGGACAACAGAGACAACATGGTTCTTAAAGAATGGCTGGAGAATGACCCTTAGAAAAAGGACAGAGAAACAAGAAAAGGCTAACAGAAGGCTCCGATGGTCTCCACAGAAGCTAAAATCAGGAAAAGCTGCATACAAGAAGGAAAGTGGTCACAGAACAAAAGCTAGCTGTAGATGAAAAACAGAAATAAAATCCTTCTGGATGTATTCAATGAAAGGAAGTACAGTGGAACCTCGGGTTACGAATTTAATTCATTCCGTGACTCT